CCTCTGGAATGTTTTAGTAAATCCTTCTACAAATGCTTGAGATGTTTTTCTTTTCCCCTGGATACATAGTTTCATTTTTGCTTAGGGAAGGAGATCTAAAAAAAGTAGATCAGGGTCTGATTATCAGCTTCCAATATGGCCAACTTCTGGTGACAGAACTACTTTAAAAATTTAAATATCTTGTCACTTTTCAGCCAGGAAAATATTTCTGGCAGTATTGAACACCCCTTGTATATAAAAGGGAGGTACAAAGGATACTACTTTCCCAAGACCTAAAGTCACACCCAAAGATAGGCAACAGAAAGAAATGGCAACCTGCATGTCCCAGGCAGGAGAAAGCCAAGTCAAATTCTTAGGACATAAAACAAGGCAAGCAAGAAGGCAATAGCTATCCCTGGGAGAGAAATGATCAATAACCAACAGGTATGAGTTTGGAAAGGAAAGGACAACGTGAAGTTTTATTTTCTGCTCTTAACTGGACACTACAGAAAGAGATTCAGGAGAGCTGACTCTTGGTAAGAATTCTTACCCTTCTCTGGCTTTTACCAGTTTTCTCAGGATCCCCTCTGCAGGCTCCACAATCTATTAGAATTTGGCAAAGTTTTTCATTCATTTTCATTTTAGTTTCCCCTGGGCTTTTTAAGGAAATAACATAGCAGTTTTCCAGAAAATCCATCAGAGTCTTATCAACTCTGGGGGGCCCCCACAATGGGGGGCTCTCCTTTGTAGGTAGATATGGGGGCATTTGAGTTGATATTGAAAAATTTGCACAAAATCTTTAAGGACAGGATTTCTCCTTATGTCTCAGATGATTACAAATGAGACATCAATTTCTGGGCCAGTGTTTTGATGATGGACCCCTAGGAGGTTGTAATGAAGAAGGCCTAGGTATTGTTTTAGATACTTTTTGCATCTTTAATTTTTCATTAGCCTTTTGCAAGGAAACTTTTAATGAAGTTATTTTGGAATCTTAAAGCCTTTTGGAAGGTTTTACATACCAATTAAAATAGGTATCCCATTCTGTTTGCTTGATTTGGAAACTCTTGTTTGTAAGTGGACTTCTTTAAAAAATGATCTCTTTCTCATTGGAATGTTACCCATAATGGCCATTGTAATTCTAGGTTGTCTTTAGTTAGATTTTGCCATTTTAGTAGTATATATAGTTTCTGGGAGTTCTAAGGCATAAAATAAGCAGATGTGCCAGAAGGTGGCGTGCTCAGCTCTTTGGAATTTGAGGATTTTTTTTTTTTTTTTTTTTTTTTTTTTTTTAGCTAAGCTTTGGGTCTCTTGGAGGCAAACTAATACCTAAGGGGGATGTGCCACTCGGTTGGGGATTATGTGGTGTTTTACAGTGTGCCTTGTTACACGGACATTTTCTTGAGGTTGGTGAGTAACCTGGTGTCAATCTAACCCACTACATGACCAATGTATTCTACCATGGGAGTCTTAGAGTTAAGTAGCAGATGCTCTAACAACTTTTAAGTGCTCAACCCATGCCCACCAATTTTGCAGCTTTTGGCTTCCAAGATTCCATTAGCAATAGCCCTTACCGACACAATACAAGTAAAACAAAATTCTGTTTTGTACCCAGTTTTTATGTTGGATTCAGTCTGAATCTAGCCAGTAACAACCAGCAGTTCCCAACTTGGAATTTGGGGACTGAACCAAGAGCTGGAGATTCCAATCAAATGGGGAACTGTGGAAAGCTAATTAGATGGGGAGCTTGATGCAAAGAGAGTGGAGCTCAGAACCAAGAAAAACTTACCCACAGCCCTCAGAAATGGCAAGAAAGAGAATTCAAAGTTCTGCAGGTTTCATGCCTGTGTTTCTCATTGTTCCTGAAGCCATCAGGAGTGTTCTTTGTATTCCATCACTGCTACCAATTCTCTTTAAAACAAAGCTCAACTGAGCACATTTTACAATCCTACAGGCTTTATTCAGTAACTCATGAATCAAGCAGCATCCCACCTAGCAGATAGAACAGAGCTCCAAAGAGCTGCACAGAATGAAAGACTTTCATAGGCAGAAGGGGATAGGATAAGGAAGTGAATAGTAAAAAACAGATTGTCTGTGGCCAGGTCACCTTCCTTTAGGGGATGACAGATGTCTTAAGAGGCAGATTACCTCATTGGTGATAACCAGGTAACTCCAGATTAAGATTCCACTCCGGGAAGAGGTTGAAACTGTAATTAAGTTAGGTATTAAGTCTCATTTTGGTGACGGGACTTCGCATAAGAGATTCCATTTGGATTCTATTGTCTCTTTGCAAACAGTAGTCGTGACAGAAACAGTATGGCCAACAAAGTAAAAAAATATTTACCATCTGGTGCCAGCCCTCGATCTAAAGTATGGGTTAAGGTAGTGAAAAGAAGGGGCACCTGCACCCCCAATGTTCATAGCAGCAATACCCACAATAGCCAAACTGTGGAAGGAGCTGAGATGCCCTTCAACAGATGAATGGATAAAGAAGATGTGGTTCATATATACAATGGAATATTACTCAGCCATCAGAAAGGATGAATACCTACCATTTACATTGACATGGGTGGAATTGGAGGGTATTATGCTAAGTAAAATAAGTCAATCGGAGAAACAAAATTATCATATTGTTTCACTCATATGTGGAATATAAGAAATAGCGCAGAGGATCATAGGGGAAGGGAGGGAAAACTGAATGAGAAGAAATCAGAAAGGGAGACAAACCAGGAGAGACTATTGACTCTGGGAAACAAACTGAGGGTTCTGGAAGGGGAGGTGGGTGGGAAGATGGGGTAACTTGGTGATGGGCACTAAAGAGGGTATGTGATGTGATTAGCACTGGGTGTTATATGCAACTGATGAATCATTGAACACTACATCAAAACTAATGATGTACTATATATTGGCTAATTGAATTTAAATTAAAAAATAAATAAAAACGTAAAAAAAATAAAGTACGGGTCAAAAAAAACCCAAATAAAATCCCAATGTTTCAGTTACCAAATTTAGAACTTACAAGATAGCAGGAAGCAAAAGAAGTTATGTAAATAGATAATCATAAAATAAAAATATATTTTCAATGTAATTTATATCATGGTTTTTGATGTGTGAAATCTATCATTTTTAAAGGCATTACCATTGCTATCTGGACTCAGGAAAGAAAGCACACTCCAAATATAATAACTGAAACTACAAACTATTTGACTAATAAATAAACTAACTTTACTTAGCAATTAAACATTCAATATTGAATTCAAGTCAGATATGTGTATATAAAACAACTAGTCTCTAATTATGTGTCATAAATCAAAATCCAAACTGAAGTCATATCGGATATATAATGTAAGTAAGCATTGCCCATTATTTAAAAAAAAGGTGAAGGATTATCTAACCTTCCTCTTAAATATTAGATGCTATATTAACATCCTTGAGTTGTATTGGGCAGTGCAAGAGTTCAGGAGAGAAATACAAGACACTTGAAAAAATAAAATTACATATTGGAATTATGGGAAACCCGCATTTGTTTATTCCTTTGTGCGTCCCAATAAATATTTATTGAGCATGTATGATATGCAAATGACCCTTCCAAGTTCTATGAGGGATGCAAATATTCTCATCTTGAAGGAATTTATCATCTTTGGGGAAAATAATACATGTGCACACCCATAATTATAATACAACTCAGAATCTGGTGAGTTCAGTAGGAGTACAGGGCTATATAGGGGGCATTAGAAAGAGAGTCTGAGAGAACATTATGAGCAAAGCTGAAAATAGGAAAATAGAAGGTGCATTTGGGAAATGTTGAACATCATACTGGCTACCATATAAGGTACAAAAGGAAAGCAGTTTGGGGGAACTTAAGCTAGAAAAATCCATTGTGGGGAGCATATGAGGGGCTTAAGGACCCATCAAGGATTTGTATTTATCCAGCAGGAATATCACTGGAAAATCACCGAAGACTGCTAGATATGGGAATGATGAGATTGATCTGATGGTGGTCAAAAGGATAGGCTGGAAGTGAGGTGAGCCAGAGACCAGAGAGGAGCCAATTTCTAGTCCAGGGTAAGGCATTATGATCCTATGCTAGAAGCATGGCAGATGAAATGGAAAGAAAGTCATAGAATGGAGAGGCATTGTGAAGGGAAAAGGAATGTAAGATTTGACAGCAAACAAGATGGGACAAAGTGAGGAAGAAGGAAGAATTAAACACTGAAATCTTTTTCTGACCTAAATGACAGGAAATAGCATAGTGCTATCAACAGAATTAGAGAGTTCTGGAGAAGGAAATGTTTTGAGGGAAATAATAAAATCCACTTTTAAAAATGCTCAGCAGGTTGAATTATTGCAGAAAGCACATCCAGGTGGAATATCTAAATAGACAGTTGGAAATGTGGGAGTTTTCCTTCAAAAAAAGTTAGGGCTGAACAATTTGACATGGAGGTCATCGACGGTCCCATATCATTTTCCAGTTACCCATAAAAAGTAGAATATAAGCACCTGTATATAGTTATATGGTCTCACTTGGAAAGCAAATGGGAAAATAGAAAGAGGCATTCATTTATTCAATGAATATTTATTGAGCATCTTCTATGTACTAGTCACTAAACTGTGCTCTGGAGACTCAGTGATGAGGGAGGGATACCGATTCAGCCCTCATAGAGGTTGCTGTAGCTCATTTTTAGGAACACTCCTACATCTTCAGGGCTTCTTAATGATTATTTTGTGGTAGGGACCTGGGTGGCACAGTCGGTTAAGTGGCCAACTCTTGGTTTCCACTCAGGTTGTGATCTCAGGGTCATGAGATTGAGCCCCACATGGGGCTCCATGCTCAGCATGGAGTCTGCTTGAGATTCTCTCTCTCCCTCTCCCTCTGCCCCACCCTTCACAAATAAATAAATGAATCTTAAAAAAATAATTATTTTGTGGTCAACAGTCTTTTCACAATGACTTTCTTACAAGCACTTAGGCTTTATTGTTAAATTATTTAAAGGCTCCTCTAATTCAGTTTATTTTTCTTTCAGGATACATATAGCGGTTTGATGGGTCCTCTGATTATTTGCAGAGAAGGATTGTTGAATGAGAAGGGAAGAAGAAGCGATGTTGATTATGAATTCGTTCTCTTGTTTTTGGTATTTAATGAGAATGAATCCTGGTATCTGGATGACAATATAAAGAAGTATCTCAATAAAGATCCACGACATTTCAGGCACACTGACGACTTTGAAGAGAGCAACAAAATGCATGGTATAAGACCTGTGTTGATATAAGCTCATAGAAATTCCTATGACTGTAGGAGGTCCCCAGCCTCCTTCTCTGAACCCTTCCCCATTCCCAAGGGCACATGCACTAAAGAAAGTCCTCTAAAACTTTCCTTCAGAGGGAATGAGCTAAGCCATTGGTTGGCTGCCAGCAAGGTCCAGTGCAACTTTGGATCCATTGTTTAGGGAGCTCTATCTCTGAAGCCTGGGATCCCTAAACTATAAGACTGTAAAGTAATTCTTAAAAAATGACTGATCACTTATGGGTATATTTCTATAAGAATACATCCATAACCTCTAGCTAATCAAATTTAAGGGTCTGGTTTAACTGACGCTGGGACATGAAATACCATCACCAAATTTCTGTTTTAATGTGTCTATGTTATTTATTTAATTCTATAGAATTTAAGGTAGTTTTTTTTTTTTTAAGTGAGAGTAATATGTTCTAATTGACACACCCATACTCTCTCACCAAGATCTACTCTGACCAAAATATACAAAAAGATAGGCCTTGCTCAAGGTCACAAATTTAAGTATTGCTAACATTGATTAGAATAGGTAGGCTGATTTCTGATTCAGCTACTCTTTCCTCTACAATTTTGCTTCCCCCATACTTCCCTTAGTACACTCTCTATTTTTAATAAATGTAACTCATTTGGTTGTGGTACAATGCACAGAATAAAAAGTTAGTAGAAAGCAGGGCGAGAGCCCCCAACAGGTCAAACCAGCTTGAGTTTGCTTTGGTCATTGTAATAGCATGGGCTCAGCCCGTGTGAAGCTTTTATATTTTTGGCAATCCAGCCTGCTTGGGAACTTGCCCAAACTAGTTCTCAAAAAGCAAAGTATTAAGGGAATAGCTTCTGATTCATTCAGTTTTGACTTACACGACCTTGATTCTCTGTGCTTTAGTTCACTCATCTATATTGAATGATATACATCATTCTATATCATTGAATATAGATATATGGCTGCTTCAAAAATGAGCCTGTAACCCACTCCATAAAGAGGACGTGCCAAACCAGCAAGCAGACAAACAACACACACTGCTACCCAAGATGTAGTCAAAAAAAACAAAAAACCACTGTGACTTCTCTTTTCTGGCTTTCTTTTATAAGAAAAGATTTTGGGTCTAGAATGGTAGGGACATTGGTGTGAGTAAGATGGTTACATGTTTATAGGGTAGATGAAAATATTGGTAACCTAAAGATCTTGAACCATTTCTAAAACCCGATTGAGTAATGATCACTAATCAAAGGCTCTTTTCTTTTCACCCTCTTAGCTATCAATGGAAAGATTTTTGGGAATCTCCATGGCCTTATCATGAATGAGGATGCGATGACAAACTGGTATCTGTTGGGAATGGGAAGTGAAGTGGACATACATACCATCCATTATCATGCTGAGAGCTTTCTTTTCAAAGTAAGTATTAGAATATGCTTTAGCCATCAGGGAAATTCACATCAAAACCACATTGAGATACCACCTTACACCAGTTAGGATGGCAAAAATTGACAAGGCAAGAAACAACACATGTTGGAGAGGTTGCGGAGAAAGGAGAACACTCTTACACTGTTGGTGGGAATGCAAGTTGGTACAGCCACTTTGGAAAACAGTGTGGAGGTGTCTCAAAAAATTAAAAATAGAGCTACCCTATGACCCAGCAATTGCACTACTGGGTATTTACCCCAAAGATACAGACGTAGTCAAAAGAAGGGCCATATGCACCTCAACGTTCATAGCAGCAATGTCCGCAATAGCCAAACTGTGGAAAGAGCTGAGATGCCCTTCAACAGATGAATGGATAAAGAAGATGTGGTCCATATATACAATGGAATATTACTCAGCCATCAAAATGATGAATACCCAGCTTTTGCAGCAACATGGATGGGACTGGAGGAGATTATGCTAAGTGAAATAAGCAGAGAAAGTCAATTATCATATGGTTTCACTTATTTGTGGAACATAAGGAATAACATGGAGGACATTAGGAGAAGGAAGGGAAAAATGAAGGGGTAGGGAATTAGAGAGGGAGATGAACCATGAGAGTCTATGGACTCTGAGAAACAAACTGAGAGTTCTAGAGGGGAGGGGGTGGGGGGAGGGTTAGCCTGGTGATGGGTATTAAAGAGGGCACGTTCTGCATGGAGCACTGGGTGTTACACACAAACAATGAATCGTGGAACACTACATCAAAAACTAATGATGTATTGTATGGTGACTAACATAACATAATAATAAAAAAAGGAATATGCTTTGGGGAAGACTTTTTGAGCTAAAAGATTCAATGTATATTCACTGTGAACAAAGATGGCTTGTGAGGTTCATATTAGAAAACAGAACAGAATAATGTGATTATACCCTTCTCCTGGTAGATCTTTCTTAATATATATATATATATAGTTGTGCTTGTGAGAAACTCTCCAAGCCTCAGATGAGAGTTTTCTCATCAGTTGTATGGGGATAATTTTTACCACTCGGGATTATGCTGTTAATACTGTATATGAAAGCACCTGTAGTACTTTGTTTCTTTTCCTTAACCTTCCCCTTTTCTTTTACTTTCCTTCTAGTTCCTTTCTTTTCTATGTCATTAGCTAACAGAATGGTCCTATCCAGTAAAGGAGATACTTCAAGCTCTGGCTTGGGCTCCAAAACTTATCTTGCTTTTTTTTTTTTTTTTTTGCCCTACTGAGCTGGGCTGGGTTTTTTGTTGTTTTTTGGGGTTTTTTGCCCTACTGAGCTGGGCTGGACCATGTGTGGCCTTCTGCCTGTCTAGCATCAAGCTATTCCATCTCGGTGGCACAGGCTATATGGAATCAACCGGGGAGCTGTTTAAGAAACAGACTGCCAGGCCCCACCCTGGTCCTGAGGAATCAGAATCCCAGGGATAAGGTCTAAATAGCCCATCATCCGGGGCGCCTAGGTGGCTCAGTCAATTAAGTGTTTGACTTCAGCTCAGGTCATGTTCTTGCAGTTCTGGGATCAAGCCCTGCTTCGGGCTCTGTGCTCAGCAGGGAGTCTGCTTCTCCCTCCCCTTCTCCCTCTGCAGCTTCCCCTGCTCATGCTCTCTCTCCCTTTCAAATAAATAAATCAAATCTTTAAAAATAAATAAATAAATAAATAAATAGGCCATCATCCCAAGTGCTTAGTGAAGTCTATAAAGAAATATAAGAATAGAAAAGAATAATCACATCTAATCTGTGGAAGTAGCTGCATTGGTCCTTTTCCATTATACAGCAATAAATAGTAACTTTAATAAAATGCCTAATATTTCCCCTCTGTATATTTATTTAACATAGTTTAAGACACCAAGTACTAGCCTACAATGACTACAGTTTTACATATTAAATGGCTATGCTGCTTTTCAGAACTTGGCTTTTTCAACTCACATCTTTAAAAATATATTAAAAATTTATAAAATTTAATAAAACTATAAAAATCATTCTATACACCTATACAATTATTTTGTATACATATTATATAAACTTTAAAAATTAAAATACAGTTGATATTGAGTAAAATTCCCTCTGTTTAGTGTACAGTTCTGTTTTGGGAAGCACACACAATAGTGTAATCAATGTTGATTAACATCCCCATCACCCCCTCAAATGTCCTTGTTGCACTTTCTAGAGTCAGCTACTTCCTCATGCTTAACCCGTGGCAGCCATTGATATATTTTCTGTCTCTATAGTTTTGCCTTTCCTGAAATGTCATATAAATGGAATCATGCCATCTACAGCATTTTGAAACTGGCTTGTTTCACTTAGTGTAGGCATTTGAATTGCATCCATCTTGTGTGTATATCGGTACTTTGTTTCATTCTATTGTTAAGTAGTATTCCAGTGTATGAATATACTGCAGTTTGTTAATCCATTTTCCCATTGAGGGGCATTTGTGTTCTTTCTGGGTTTTGGTTATTACAAATAAAGTCATTGTAAATATCGGTATACATATTTTCCTGTGAACATAATTTTTTTTTTCCCTTGAGAAAATACCTAGGAGTTGGATTGCCAGACCATGTGATAAGTGTATGCTTAACTTCATAATAAACTGCCAAGGTATTTTCCACAGAGGCAGTACCCTTTTGCATTCCCACCAGAAAGGCATGAGAACATCACCTGTTCCACACCCATATCAACAGTTGGTATCTTCCATTTTTATTTTATTGTTTCTTTGCCATCCTATTAAGTATGTACTGGTAGCTCATTGTTTGTTTTTTGTTTTTTTTTTTTTTTTTAGATTTTATTTATTTATTTATTCATGAGAGACAGAGAGAGAGAGAGAGGCAGAGGGAGAAGCAGGCTTCCCGCGGAGCAGGGAGCCTGATGCGGGACTCGATCCCAGGACCCTGGGATCATGACCTGAGCCGAAGGCAGACGCTTAACCATCTGAGCCACCCAGGCGCCCCTCATTGTTTTTTATTTACATTTTCCAAATGGCTAATGATACTGTGTATCTTTTCATGTGCTTATTTACCATCTGCCATCTGTAAATCTTGGGTGAAGTGTCCAAATCTTATGCCCATTTTTAAATTTTGTTGTTCATTTCTGTATTGTTGAGTTTGAGGGCTTTCTGCATACAAATACTTTACCAGCTACATGATTGCAAATATTTGCTCCCAGTCTGTGGCTTATCTTTTTATTTCCTTAATGTTATCTTTCAAAGAACAGAAAAATCTTCATTCAGATGAAGTACAGTTTATCGTTTTTTCTTTTATGCATCATGCTTTTGGTGTCATATCTGAGAAATCTTTGCCTAACTCAAGGTCACAAGGATTTTCTTCAAGCTGTTTTATAGTTCTAGGTGTTCTATTTAGGCATCTGATCCATTTTAACTTTCATATATGGTTCAGGGTTTATTTTTTGCATATGGATGCAGTCATTCCATCACCATTCATTGAAAAGTCTACCCTTTCTCCCACCGTGTCAAAATCATATTGATCATATATATGTGGGTTCATTTCTGGGATGTCTGTTCTATTACAGTGATCTATGTGTGTGTCCTTTCTTGAATACTATCCTGTCTTGATTACTTTAGTGTGATAGTAAGTCTTTAAATCTCATGGTGATTGTTTTAGCTATTCTAGATCTTTGCCTTGCCATATAAATTTTAGAAATAAATTGATTTCGGGCGCCTGGGTGGCTCAGTTGGTTAAGCGACTGCCTTCGGCTCAGGTCATGATCCTGGAGTCCCTGGATCGAGTCCCGCATCAGGCTCCCTGCTCAGCAGGGAGTCTGCTTCTCCCTCTGACCCTCCCCCCTCTCATTCTCTCTCTCTCAAATAATAAATAAAATCTTAAAAAAAAAAAAAGATTCTCATCAAAAAAAAAAAAAAGAAAGAAATTGATTTCTTGTTGACTTCTATTAAGAAATCCTGCTAGGATTTTGATTGGAATTGCTTTGAATCTGTATATTGGTTTGAGGATAATTGATATCTTAACAATATTAAGTCTTCCAACTCATGAACATGGTATATCTCTATATATATTTAGATTTGCTTTGATTTCTTTCATCAGTGTTTTGTACTTTCAGCGTACAGATCTTTTTTAAAATTTTATTTTATTTAAATTCAATTAGCCAATATATAGTACATCAATAGTTTTTGGTGTAGTGTTCAAGAATCATTAGTTGCTTATAACACCCAGTGCTGATCACATCATGTGCCCTCCTTAATGCCCATCACCCAGTTACCACATCCCCCCCACCTACCTCCCTTTCCACGCCCCTCAGTTTGTTTCCTGGAGTCAAGAGTCTCTCATGGTTTGTCTCCCTTTCTGATTTCTTCCCATTCAGTTTTCCCTCCCTTCCCCTATGATCCTCTGCACTATTTCTTATATTCTACATATGAGTGAAACCATATGATAATTGTGTTTCTCTGACTGACTTATTTCACTTAGCATAATACCCTCCAGTTCCATCCATGTCGATGTAAATGGTAGGTATTCATCCTTTCTGATGGCTGAGTAATATTCCATTGTATATATGAACCACATCTTCTTTATCCATCCATCTGTTGAAGGATATCTCAGCTCCTTCCACAGTTTGGCTATTGTGGATATTACTGCTATGAACATTGGGGTGCAGGTGCCCCTTCTTTTCACTACATCTGTATCTATGGGTAAATGTCCAGTAGTGCAAATGCTGGGTCATAGGGTAGCTCTACTTTTAACTTCTTGAGGAAACTCGATACTGTTTCTTGAGGAACCTTGATACTGTTTTCCAAGCTTGCATTCCCACCAACAGTGTAAGAGGGTTTCCCTTTCTCCACATCCTTGCCAACATTTGTTGTTTCCTGTCTTGTTAATTTTAGCCATTCTAACTGGTGTGAGGTGGTATCTCAATGTGGTTTTGATTTGTGTTTCCCTGATGATAAGTGATGTAGAACATTTTTTCATGTGTCTGTTGGCCATTTGTATGTCTTCTTTGGAGAAGTGTCTGTTCATGTCTTCTACCCATTTCTTGACTGGATTCTTTGTTTTTTGGGTGTCGAGTTTGAGAAGTTCTTTATAGATCTTGGATACCAGCCCTTTATCTGTTATGTCATTTGCAAATATCTTCTCCCATTCTGTTGGTTGCCTTTTAGTTTTGTTGACTGTTTCCTTTGCTGTGCAGAAGTTTTTATCTTGATGAAGTCCCAGTAGTTCATTTTTGCTTTTGTGTCCCTTGCCTTTAGAGATGTGTCTTGCAAGAAGTTGCTGCAGCTGAGGTCAAAGAGGTTGCTGCCTGTGTTCTCCTCTAGGATTTTGACGGATTCCTGTCTCACATTTAGGTCTTTCATCCATTTTGAGTTTATCTTTGTATATGGTATAAGAGAATGGTCCAGCCTCATTCTTCTGCATGTGGCTGTCCAATTTTCCCAGCACCATTTATTGAAGGGACTGACTGTCTTTTTTCCACTGGATATTCTTTCCTGCTTTGTCAAATATTAGTTGACCATAGAGTTAAGGGTCCATTTCTGGGCTCTCTATTCTGTTCCACTGATCTATCTATGTGTCTATTTTTGTGCCAGTACCATGCTGTCTTGATGATCACAGCTTTGTAATACAGCTTGAAGTCAGGCATTGTGTGGGCCCCCAGCTTTGGTTTTCTTTTTCAACATTCCCCTGGCTATTCAGGTTCTTTTCTGGTTCCATACAAACTTTAAGATTGTTTGTTCCAGCTCTGTGAAAAATGTCGATGGTATTTTGATAGGGGTTGCATTGAATGTGTAGATTGCTCTGGGTAGCATAGATGTTTTAATGATGTTTGTTCTTCCAATCCATGGGCATAGAATGTTTTTCCATCTCAGCATACAGATCTTGCATATATTTTGTTGGATTATTACCTAAGTAATATCATAGGTTTTGGTGATAGTGTAAGTTGTATTGTCTTTATTTCAATTTCTAATTGTTCATTGCCAATATATACAAATATAATTGATTTTTGTATAATTGATCTTGTATCCTACAACTATGCTAAATAGTTCTAGTAGCTTTTTTGTAGATTTTGGGGTGATGGTTTCCTACAATGACAGTCTTCTGTGAGTTGAGATGGTTTTATTTTTTTTATTCCATCTGTATGCCTCTTATTTCTTTTCTTGCCTTATTGTACTGGCTAGGACTGCTAGTATTCGTTGTATCTGAATGGTGAAAGGGAATATCCTTGCCTTAGTCTTAGGGGGAAGTACTCAGTTATTCATAACTGAATATAAAGTTAGCTGTAGGTTTTTTGTAGTTTCTATTAATAAGTGGAAGAAGTTTCTTTCTATTCTTAGTTTGCTGATGGTTTTTATCATGAACAGATGTTAAATTCTATCAAATGCTTTTTCTGAATCTATTGAGATGATCACATTTTTCTTCTTTAGTTTGTCGATGATTTTTTTTTTAATGTATTGGTGATTTACATAGATTGATTTTCAGATATTGAACCAATTTTCAGTCTCAGGATAAATCATACTTTGTCACAATGCATTATCCTTTTTATATATTGCTGGATTCAATTTGCTAGTATTTTTTTAAGGATTTTACATTTATGTTCATGAAGAATATTAGTTGTAGCTTTCTCTTCTCATAAAGTATTAGGGTAATGCATAGGTAAATTATTAGGGTATCAGGGTAATGCTGGCCTCATAAAATGAGTTGGAAGTGGTCTGTTCTCTTCTATTTTCTGGTAGGGTTTGTTTAGTATTGGTATTATTTCTTCTTTAAATGTTGGTAGAATTTGCCAATGAAGCCATCTGGACCTGGAGCTTTAATTTATTGGAAAGTCGGAAAGTCTTAATATAATTCCAGTTTCTTTAATAGATAATCTGAATAGTGATCTTAGGAAGTTTTCATCTTAAGGAATTTGTCCATACGATCTAAGTTTTAGAATTCACAGTTATTCATAATATTCCTTTACTATCCTTTTCAATATCTATAAGGTCTCAGTGATGTCCCCTCTTTCATTCCTAATATTTGTAACTTGTGTCTTCCCCCTCCCCCTTGGTCAGTTTGTCTAAGGGTTTGTATTAGTTATTTATTGTTTTATAACAAATTACTCCAAAACTTAGTGGCCTAAAACAACAAACACTAACTGACGGTTTTTCTGGGTCAGAAATCTGGGAGTAGTTTTGCTAGTTGGTTCTGACTCAGCATTTCTCATGAGGCTATAATTAAGATGTCAGCTGGACCTGCAGTCATTAGGTTTGACTGGGACTGGAGAATCCATATCCAAACTCACTCAAAGGGCTATTAACTGAAAGCTTCAGTTCTTCACTACATGGGTATGGCATGGGAGCTGACTTCCCCCAGGGTGAGTGATCCAAGAGAAGAGAGCAAGAGAGAATCTAAGTCTTTTGGAAGTAGAATGCCATCACTTCTGCCATATGCTATTGGTCTCATAGACCAACTCTCATACAATGTGGAAAGGGACTACAAAGGTTATGAATAGCAGGAGGCAGGGATTATTGGGGGCCATTGTGGAGGATGGTTACCACAAGGTTTATCAATCTTATTGACCCGTTCAAAGAACCAGCTTCTGTTTTCTTTGATTTATCTCTATTATTTTTCTACTCTCAGTTTTATTGATTTCTGCTCTTATTACCTTCTTTCTGCAGATAGATAAGTCTTACCGAGAAGACGTGTATGATCTTTTTCCTGGGACATTCCAAACCATTGAGCTGTTTGCAGATCACCCAGGGACATGGCTGTTACACTGTCATGTGTCTGACCACATCCATGCTGGCATGGAGACAACTTACACAGTCCTTCGGAACATAGGTACTGTTTTCTGTCAGCGATGATGGGTGATAGCACCAGGCTTCCCATAGGCCCTGAAAATAGAGGGCTCAAGAGCCCCCAAGGGCTCAGAGTCAAGTAAGAGAGGCAGACATATAAATAGTAACTATAATAGAATATGATACATGCCAACATAGAGTGCAGAGTACAGGGCTCAGTGGCAGCAGTAGGAGGTAATGGTTAACAGTGTGGGGATATGAGCAAACATTCTAGAGGCTCTAATGCTTCAGATGGATCTTAATGGGTTAGCAGAAGCTTTAAAGGTAGATGGGGAAAGGATAGCATGTGTATGGGTATGAAGTAGAACAGTGAGAATTTAAGAAAGACCTGCAGATACAAATGGGATAAAGTCCTCATTGGTAAAATGACGTAACCCTTGAAATAACTCATGTCATGAAAAGAATCTACTTCTGTTGTTTATAAAAAAATCAACTTGTCATCTTTGTCCAGACAACAGGATCCCTTACTCCACCAAGTCTCCATCTGGTGGAGCGTCCCGCCCAGCCACAGTGCCCTCCAATGGTAACGATACCCTCCCCGAATCCCGCATGTGAATGGTCAGTGTTCACTCCCTAGGGAAAGGCAGAGGACTGACACCTCACTTTTCTTTTCACAGAAGAACCTGGCAAAGAGCAGCTCTATTTCTTTGGCAAGAATCTGGGTCCTAGGGGAGCCAAAGCAGTCTTGGTCATCCTCTTCATCATTGGACTCCTCCTCCTGATCTCCACAGTGATTCTCTCCATCAGACTGCAGTCTGCAAGGAAGCAGGTTGCGTACCGGGAAGTCCAGTCCTGCACACTCCCCACGGATGCTCTGTGAACCAGCTGGTCTTCCTCAGCAAGGAAACTGGACAAGGCATCGTTCATCAAGAAAGGTTTACATTATATCCTGGATCAGGCTCTGATCCTTCAGAACACAACCAAAGCAATTTGCTTTTACTTATTTTTTAATGGGCTGTGAATAATCCTCAGGTATAAAATACAGAAAGAACAGGTGTGTCTGAGAAAACACAGTCTGTTCTCTGAATGAATTTGCTGAGGTGGGGAAACCCTCTGAAAGATATCTTTATTTTCCTTTTTTTTTTTTTTTTTTTTTTTTGTAATTCTTAGATTAGACGGTGCTTCCTCAGCTAACTCTCCAAGTTTCCAGATGGACGACTTTGAGAGTTATACTGCCTCGGACACCTAACTGAAATGGCTCTGATTTTTCAACACTGTTATGTAAGATGTTTCCCTTAGTCGTTCCAGGGAAAATAACTTTCTGAGGAGTTCATGGAAATGTCTAAATCAGTATCTGCTGATAGAATTTGACCAAATGAAGTTTTTGGAGCTTTAGCCAGCTCTCCTGGCCTTTTCCACTTTAATATAAATAGCCTGTGTCCTGTTTGCTACAGAAGGCGAAGTTACCAGCATAAAAAAAAAATTCCTGCTGTTTTTATGCAAACCAGTAGAGATACTTTAATGTTTACAACTCACTTCATGTTCTGTGTTTTTACAATGTTTCCATGGCAACGTTGTTGGTTTTTTTTCCCCAAAAAAAATCATCTAGAGAATTTGTATTTGTATTTTAGAACGTGGAGGGCCGGAAGCTATAAAAGAGCAGGATAGGTTCTCCCATTGTGAGGCAGAGACTCCCTAAAAGTTTAGTAGGAGCTCCTGTGTGAGGGAAGCTTTGAAGAAGGCGAATCTGGACTTGAGCCTTGAGTCTGATTTTTCATTCACCTAGCAGGATCTTTCCAAGTCTGCATCTTCTAGGAAATAAAAACAGTCTCATCATGTGAGCAACACCAGGAAGAATTCATCAGTGCAGCTGACTGGTGGGGAGAAGAGATCTCACAAAATTCTTCATTCCATGCCTCTTAAAGACAGCCCTTTGTGGGAGGAAGGGAAAAAAAAAAAAGAGAGAGAGAGAGAAAAGGCTAGAAAAGAGAGAGTCCCAGTGACAAGTTTTAAATCATTAAATCGGCTTTGAAAACATGCATTACAGTTTTCAAGGCTCAAATGTAAAAATAAAGGCAATCCATACTCTCTGTATACATGCCTAAACATTAGGTTAAGATTGATAAAAGCAACTTTGCTTATTACTAGACTTGAGAAATTGCCCTTAACTCAGGGCAAGATGCCCTGCGATGCCAATGTCAATGCCAGATGAGTGATATCAGTACATCTGCCTTGGCAGATCATTTGAATGTCCAGATGAGCAAGTAGGACCTAAAAAAATAACTCTGGTGGAGGGATCTTTCATACTTTCTCATCTTCATCTTGGTGAGGGGAAATGGGTAATTTGATAGCAGTTATAGTATTACATAAACCAGGATGCGAATGCTAATAGTTCTGTTCTTAGTTTGCTTGAATGTCATATCAAACAGTGTACCCAAAGGATTTTGAATTCCAGCCTGCTAACCACTGATAATGTGATTTTGTAGTATGTGCTCTATGGTTTTCATACATGTGTAGGCTGTATAATTTCATAATAATAATTATGATAAATGCCTTATTTATAACTCACCTAGACAACAAATTAGTTTTTTTCCTTTTCTCTTAGTCTATTTTTTTTTAATGAAAATGAAACCATAAAGTAGTTTGATTACACCATTTCTCTTTTTAATAAAGTTTCACAGATTATGAGATGGCTATTTGCATTTTTTTCACTACTACCCTATCACTAGACCTAGGGCGGGGGGTTGGTGAAAGGAGAATTGTCTTTTAGATATTTAGCAACTATCCTAGTTATATACCTGCTAAAGGAAATGAAACAAAATAACAATACGTCTCCCAAAGAATAGGACTCTCCTCAAACATTATTTCCTCAAATGTACCATACTTCTTTCTCTGCCTCAGTCCTTTGAGAAAATCAATTACAATTAGATACATCTCCTGTTACAATGGAAGAAGTGTCCCTGCTCCTAGCAGAGCAGTCTCTTACTTGGCTCTGTACTAACCCTTCTTGCTCTCTCAAGGACTTCATTCCCTCAGTGTTCAGCTTTGTCTAGTGCATGAAGTCATCAGCAGCACCCACCATTAAAAAACAAACAAACAAACAGAGGGCTGTGGTCCTGAACTTCATAACCCTCTCTAACCCAGTTTCTCTGTTCCCTTCAGAGCAGAACTTTTTGTCTGTACCACCTCATCTCATGAATTCCTCACCCCATTCCAGTGACTTCCAGTCCAGTGTGCCTTGCTCCCACCTCCCAGTCTGCTGTTGTCAAAATCAACAACCATGATGCTATTTCCAGGGGCTTCTTCCCCATTTTGATCTCACTCAACCTATTCACAACAATTGACAGCTCCTTCCTTCAAAACACCTCACAGTCCCTTAGCTCTTCAGCATGACCCCTTGCCAGCCTTCCTTCTTCAGTTGTTCTTCCTTCTCAGTCTCTTGCTAGTTCCTTCTCTCCCATCTAACTTAAGTGTTGGCATGCCTCAGAGCTTGACACTGGGCCCTCTTCTCTTTTCTGGGCCTCTGGGGTAGGCTGAATAATGTCCCCAAAGATTTTGTGTCCTTATCCCTGAACCTGTGTTACTTCTTTATATGGCAAAAAGGACTTTGCAAGTATGATTAAGTGAAGGATCCTGAGACGGACTACTCAGGTTGTCCATAAATAAAAGTCACAGTGCCCTTCTAAAAGAGAGGCAGAGGGAGGTTTGACTACAGAAAAAGGCCATGTGACAACTGAAGTAGGACACTATGCCACGGCTTTGGAGATGGAGGAAGGGGCCACAAGCCAGGGAATGCTGCTCTAAAACCTGGAAAAGGCAAGGGAACAGATTTTCCCCCAGAGCCTCAAGAGGGAGCTTGACCCTGTGGGCATCTTGTATTCCATTAAACATGATTTTGGATTTAAGAGTTCCAGAACTGTTAGAGAATACACGGGAGCCATCAAGTTTGTGGTCATTTTTTTACAGCCCTCTTCATACCTTATTTCATCTACTTCACTTTTAATTATATCCAAACTCCTTACGTTGGTCTCGGGCCCAGCCTGAGTTGGCCCATGCCCACCTCTCCTCATCTCCAACTCTTCTTTTCTCTAGCTTTGATCAGTTCTTGTGTCCTGCTAGTTCTTTTCTGCCTCAGGACCTTTGCACATGCTGCTCTCTATGCCTGGAGTACTCTTCCTCTCCAGCACTATCATTCCCCTTCCTACCTTTCCTAGCTCATCTGTGAGCTCACCACACTGCCCTCTGTTATTTCCTATCTTCATTATTTTCCTTTGTAGCACTTATCACAAGACATGACCATTTTATCCTTCTGTTGGTTTGATTTTCTTCTGCCTCTTTGACTGCAATATAGGCTTCATGGAAGCAAAGACCCCTGACCTTTTTTTGTTCATCGCTGCATCCCCAGCACAGACCACATTGCAGATATATAATAGTTGCTCAGCAAATATTACTTGAATGAATGTGTAAGCAGAATAGACAGTGTAGTGGGCTGGACTATTCTGACTTCGACTATTTCAGTTGCAAAAAGTCTCATATTCAAATGTCAAATGTCAAGGGTCTGAAACAAACAGATTCTGGGACAGTGGCTGTGAGGTCCACAGCTGCTTTGGCTTCCTTCTAATAAATGACACTGGGCAGGGAGGACATGGGAGGAGCATGTATTATTCAATCCCTAAATGCACTTTACAATTAGGAAAAAAAGGTCATCAAATGTAAGGAAAGTCTAAGAAACTGTCACAGCTAAGAGGAGCTAAGGAGACATGATAACTAAACACAATGTGGCATCCTAGATGGGATCCTAGAACAGAAAACAAAAAGATACGACGTAAACATTAAGGAGATATGAATAAGCTAGATTTTAATATTAATGAAATTATGTATTAATGTATTGATATTAATGTAATCTGATCAACCATCAGATTTTGTATATTTAGGAGAGAGAAGCAAGTGAATTTGGAAATTGGTTATGGCAGCTGGGAGAAACGGAAGCGTTAAAGATGGTGCTGGAGGCTTCTGGCTTGGCTATATGAGTGGATGGTGGTGCACTCAGCCAGATAGGGAAGACTGGAGTTCAGCTGGAGAGGAAGATGACCGCAGGCCTGGCCATTATGAGTCCGAAGTCCTGTGAGCCATCCCAGTGCAGAGCTGTGTAAACTGTCGGATGAGTGTTCAGAGGTCAAGGTCTGAGGGACTCGAGGGCAGACGGAGGAGGCTAGCCTGCGCCCGTCCAGGTACAAAGGGCAGAGAAGGCAGCCCAGCCCAAGGAGCCCTCCTATTTAAAGGTCCTGTCAGCCGCAAACGTGGTCGGCTGGAGCATCTCCTCCTGTTTCTCATGCTCCACTTCCTGTAAGTGGCTCAGAAGCAGCTGTCTGCAGCCCCCAATCCCACCCACCCGCGGACAGCCCGGGGCCGGCTCCCGCACCAAGCCTCGGCCGGCTGGGAAGGCCGGAAGAAAAGCGCGGATCCGGCCAGCGATAACTGAAGTGTGAGACCCTGGCGCACGCCGGGCTCCCCACAGCCCTCGCGCCTCCACTCACGCAAGCTCCTGGAAGGATCCACAGTCCCCTCTTCTACACCATTCGAACGGCTTTTATGGCAGCCGTTGCCCTTTGAAGCGTTCGCAGCTCCTTTTAAGCCGATTCCGCCCTATAGAACTGTTGGGAGTGGGGCGTAAAGGAGGACCCTTCTGTCTACACGGTGAGAGGTCGCTTTCGGAAATGATTTCAAAAATCCCGGTCGAGGAACAGGGGAGGCTGGGGCCGAGAGGGGGCGCGAGTATTGCCGAGGTACCGCTCGGTGGGAAGGTCCCCCTGCCGAGGTGGATCCTGGGGTCCCTGCACGCTGCCGCGCCCACCCCGCTCGCGTCAGTGCGGTTTCCGGCAACTCCACGCGCCCGGGCTCTCGCGCTCGCCCAGGGCTCCGGAAGAGCGCGGCCGGGCGTGCGGAGCGCGCGGGCGTGCCGGGGGGGCGGCTTCGGGGCCCGGGGCGGGGCGGAGGGGTCGCGGGAGCGCCTGGTTCTCGCGCCTGCGGACGCGCGCGAGGCGGGGGAGCGCCGGGCGGCGCGCGCAGCCCGGGGACCTGTACGGGGCGAGCGCGCGGGGGCGGGCCTGCGCCCAGCCGGCGGCGGACGAGCGAGCGCGAGAGCTCCTGCGCCCGGGCGCACGGCGGGAGCGCCGGCGGTGCTGTGGCTCGCCGGGAGCCGGGAACCCCGACACACAAAGGCTGGTGGGATGCGTGAGCAACCCGGGAGCCGGGAAAGGGAAAGCGAAAGCCGCGGGCGCGGCAGGTGACGGCGAAGGCGCCGCGCAGTCCTCCCGACGCCGGCGGTGCCCGGGCCTGCCCTCCTGGGCCTGCCCTCCTGGGCCTGTCGGGCTGAACCCAGCGCGCCGCAGCCATGGCTATCGCCCACCTGGCCACCGAGTACGTGTTCTCGGACTTCTTGCTGAAGGAGCCCTCGGAGCCCAAGTTCAAGGGGCTGCGGCTGGAGCTGGCCGTGGATAAGATGGTCACGTGCATCGCCGTGGGTCTGCCCCTGCTGCTCATCTCCCTGGCCTTCGCGCAGGAAATCTCGATCGGTAAGGCCCGGGCCGGAGGGGCGGGGTGGGGCCGGCCGGCGTGAGCCGGCGTTATTCCAGGTGCCCGGGTCTGGTGGGAAGTGATTTTACTGCGCGCCCCTGGAAGCCCACTCGGCTGCGATGGGCGTGAACCTTGGGAAGAAAGGGAGCCCCGGTTTTATGGCCTGAAGTATTCTTTGCCCACGTGGTTCATTTTATACCCCTGTGGATCCTGCCTGCATCCCTACTGCTCAGTTCTTCTGTCTGCTCCCCACGGATCCTGAGTGTGGCGTGGCGTTTGTGTCCGCCTCTTAGGACCGGCGCCCTTGCCATCAGATTTGTCGAAAACAGTGGTCTCCTATTCCCTTTCCCTCACCCCTACATTTGTGTAATTACCTACAGAGAAGTTCCTGAGTGGCTGAATGGAGGATTGAAGAAAAGTACTCCCTGAAATGTGTTCTCCCTTCATCACCTTACATTGAGTTGATACTGACTGAGACTGGTTCTGCAGGGTTGTGAATGATGGGAAATGACTGCACTTGGCGGGCATTAGAGGGATACCAGAATCCTCCACCCGGACAGCCTTGTTATGAACATGGGATGAACAAGTCCCCTTCGTGTAGACTAGTGTTTCCTCATGATAACACTTCCGATGTGCGATAGTGTTTGGGGCAGGATCACGTGGCTAATAAGACTCCGGGCTTCCTCATCAGCTGTTCTGACTTACAGCACAGGAGAGGATGCTTATGAGTCAAGAGGACAGCTAGAGACTGTTCACTAGGGGAGAAGAGAGGCTGGTGGGGCTGGACCTTGGGGAAAGCTTATATGAGAAACTGTGCTGGCCCTGAGCCCTGGAGCACGGGTGGGATTTGGATAAGCAGAGGTGAGACCTTTGCTAAGATTTTGAGATCGCAGAGAATGTTACATGTTCCTGGAAGGAGAGAGATAGTGACCGTCCCCTGCTGAGGCAGGAGAGTTAGTCACAGTTCTTGGGATATGAGCATGAATATGGGTCCAGTCCGTTAGAACAGAGGAGTACAGACTTGATGGTTTTAAAAGTGCAAAGTTATTGTTTGAGCAGAGGATGGACCATTACTTAATAAACCTGATGGTAGCATGGAGGGTCTAGGGT